AGCTTTGAGTATCCAAAAGGATAAAATTTTCTATTAAACATGGCAAGTTGAAAATTGGATTTTCTTTCCTTTCCAGTTGTTTTGTGTCTTATATTTGCCTTATAGAACTTTTAAGGTCAAAATGATTTCTTAAAGCCAGAATGACAGAATATACTGCACTCTGTGACTTTGCATATTTGTAAAGGATTGCTGTAAAAATCAAACGTGCTGACAGTAATATGCAGTTTTGAGGAAATAATGGTACTAATAAATATAATTCATTAATTAATATTTTGTAATTAGAAATAAGTTCTGTTACTAAGTCCGTGCACTTGTAATCATTCAGAACAAAAGCTTTTTTTACAATATTTTAAAGCTCTCTGCTGAAGATTAATACTTGGTCCCAAATACACTGAGGATAAGGTCATGTTCATATCAACTCCAATATTTCATGTACAGTGATGGTTAAATGGTGAATTACATGTCAGTCACAGCACACTGGTCAGGACTTCAGTTCACTGGTTCTGTGTACCCTTAGCAGCAGCAGCAAACAAAATGTCATCAGGAAATTTGCAGTGTTATGCAATGAAGATTATGAAAAAGATCACACAGTATACAAACTGGTTCAAGACCTGAAGCAGCAATTTGTTATGTTGCTTATTCTGGAATTATTTTGTTAGACGTGGTGCCAGCATGTGTTATCGCAATAGATAATGGAGACTGCAACCCACAGTGTAGATGGACTCCTTAAAACCTTTCATAAATGATTCCTGGTGGTTAATCATAGAATCTTTTAGGTTGGAAGAGACCTTTAAGATCATGATTTCCATCTGTTAACCTAACATTGCTAATACCACCCCTCATGCATGTCCTTCAGCACATCATCCACATCTTTTAAATACCTCCAGGGATGGTGTGACTCAACCACCTCCCTGAGCAGCCTCTTCCAACACCTGACAATCCTTTCAGTGAAGATTTTTCCTAATATCCAATCTAAACCTCCCTTGGCACAACCTAAGGCTATTATCACTTGTCACGTGGGAGAAGAGACTTGCTGAGGATGTACTCTGTCCCATTGTCTGGGTCATTAATGAAGACTTCAAACAACAATGGCAGCAGTATCAACTCCTGGAGGACTCCACTAGTGACTGGCCTCCATCTTTGTGATAGTGACCATAACCCTTTGAGCCTGGGAGTTCATCTAGCATTTTTTCTATTATCTTTTGTGTCTGTGTGAAAATAAGGACTAAGAAACTGTAAGAAAAAAATGGTAATGAGCTCAAAGTAAAGAACTAAAATGGAAATGAGTAAGACTTATCCAAATCTCTAAATTCAGCTAATGGATGGCTTTAATATGTTTGTGCTAGTTTCCCGTCAGGCAAATTACACTGAATTTATGTAACATGCATTATTGTTATAAAATGTATTTTAGATGCAATTAAAATTTTAAAAATTTAACTGATAGGACCTGAATTAAATGCAAACCTCTTTCTCTTACTTTTTACCTTGTTTCTGAATCTGTTGAAATACGTGACAGATTTGGAGTTACTATTTTCAGAGCTATTTCATTCTTTTTAAATGTACTTCATGCCCTGTTATATAGTGGTGGTGTTTTTATGTGTTGGGCTTTTCCTAAAGATTCCATAGTGCATTATGTTATTCTTGCAAACTTTAGCTGTGCTTCTGTGGGATGATTCAACAATCTGCAGATGCTGGGAGTAAAGACTAACGCAGATCTGTTGCTTTAACCTCAGGTTACACTGGAGCTGTGGTTGGTCTGTAGAAGTGCAGGGAATGCTGATAACGTGTTGCACAGTATGCAGGATATCCTATGCCGTTACTGAGATGGAGAACCCAGCTTCAAATGCAAGGAATGTTTCAACAGAATGAAATCGACCAAGCCGCTTAGGCTGTTCATCTCTACTTTAGTTTTATTGCATATATAAAGGAGAGAAGGGCAGAGGTTATTAAAAATAGTGCACATGGAGAGCCTAGGTGGAATTTCTACGACCAGCTATAGGCATACATATTGACCCTAATTGCATTGGCTTAATGTGAGAGGAAATCATGTGAATGAAGTCTAGGACACAATTCATCTTATTTTTAAGTAAACATCTATAATAAATCAGATGAGTGGTGAATACCCGAGGAAAAGTATAAAACATGTCTGTGGGGACTAGGTGAGATATACACTGCTCTGCTGATACCTAGTTAGCTGAGACTAATTCCAAGCTCAGTGACCAAATGGCCCTTTCCTTCAATGTGTCCAACTTTTTTCAACAGGTTTTGATTGATTTTTTTTAATTTAATTGAGTCATTTGATTTAACTGAATAATTAATTGCACTGTAAAATTTGATGCTCAGTGTTCAAAATCTGACTTGTTAGTTCTGAATGATCATTTAACAAATGATACTATTTCTGTCTGTCAAGTGGAAATTTTAATATACTTTTGATTAGTTTTTAGGTTTCCAACTGCCGAGAAGAGAGTTTCTTGATATTTTTTTGTTTGTTTTTACAAAACCTTGAACTTTTTTGTAATCCAATTTTTTAAACAAGGAAATAAAATTATTGCATAATACAGTTACAGATAGAGTATGTATAGTTTAGTATTAAAATATTAATTTCATCTTTCTCATTACATTCTACCATAGGTGTCTTAGAGAATACATCCTATTAGAATATTGTGTATCTCTCAGGTCTTCAGAAAGAGTCAAGCAACTCTTTGCTATTAGACAGTATGTGCTGCTTTAAGAGTAAAAATTTCTCTAAATTGTGGGAAAATGTCTTCAAATGTAGTACTCAAATGAAAAGCTTGTATGAATAATTGACTAGTACAAAACAAATTTCATGTAAAAATATGAAGAAATATTATTTGAATATATTTATATGGATATGTTTCTCCCTTTTTTTTTGCAATATTTGCCCTTCTCTATTCAAGACTGGTAATTAAATGT